TTGAAACTAGAATGCACTATAAAGAGAACAATATACCTAGCATCGGCAGTCGTAGTAACTATAGCTGCGGGAGCGGTGGCATACCACCCCCCACGAGCAACTCGAATGCGGTTTGTGTGCAGTCCTCGGATTCGCCCAAATGGACCTGAATCGTGTATTCCACGTTAGGCTCAACGCCGCGGCTGACAACCAAAGCACTCCCTCTATTGGCCCAACGATTTCTCACAACCGAGTCCCTTTATCAACTTCTGTTCGAACGAAGCGAGATGCATATTGAATCCCCTCCAGTGATAACGGCGCCAGCAGTATCGCTCGCCAAGCTGCTGGTGCCGCATCGAAAGCCTTGAGGGTCAAAACTACCGTGCCGCTACTTCCCAGCACTCTCGCAAGCACCTCTAAGGCTTTCGTACTCCGCTACCTCCCGACCCCTTCTTGACCAGGTCCCCCATCGTGATCGGGTACAGCTTCTACGCCCCTTTATGGTTCCTGACGGGGCTATTTCCTCTTTATAGGATTACCTTGTCGTGCTTCACCTCCCATTTGGTGGACGCCTCTGGAACAGCTGCCAAGTGGGATTGCATGAAAGTACGCGCAACCTCCTCCCAATTCTTGCTCTTTCATGTCCAGTGCTTGAGCAGATCTGGATGCGCGTACAGCGAGGCGAACCCGAGCAAAAACCCCGCCGCCTGCTCCGTCAACCAACTCCTCAACGGGTCGTCTTCGAGTAAGAACACCACCACGGACCGTCACGCCTAAACCTCATTCCTCCCGCGACTGATACATCAGCTCCCTGCTCCACAGAACGAAGACCCTTTTGTGTGTCGCCTTACCCCCAGAGACGAAATAACCGTCCATCTTTTCCAAATCTTTCTAAACGTCTCCCAACAGCGGATACACCTGAGCTTGACACCCTCGTCGTCGTGGTAAGGTGCGACACTTGCCACTTCCCAAGCATCATCTTCATACGCTGGTACTGTTAGAATACTTGAATGACTAGAAGAAGAGAGGTCACAAGGCCACAAGGCCAGTCTGGAAGGTATATATATATACAGGAGTACACAATCAAGGACCTAGCAAGTGAGATTCTACATGAACTAGACCAAGCTGCAAACAGTGCCGCTGATGATCTTTAGGTGCAAGCGCCATTTAATAGAGATATCAGCTGTGTTGGCATCGGAGGCCAAGTGTACTACGCGGGCCTGACAATGCTACTGTAGCTCACGCATGAGGAAGTACCGCAGCTGCATGTGCTTCGCTCTGCCCTCAAGTCGTGGCTCCTAACACAGGAAGATCATGGCATTGTTGTCAACGTAAAGAACCGGGGCAGAGCTAGGCCGCCCACCTAAGTCGGCGAGCAAGAAGGTCAGCCAGCGGAGCTCCTGTGCCGCCATGGCACTGGCGTAGATCTCAGCCTTCAGCTAGACTGGGCAACAGACGAGGAGCGAGTGGACCTCCACGAGATGGCACCCAAACCAAGGCTAAAGGAGTAGCCCTGGGAGGACCTGAGGGTCTCAGCGTCGTCTCCCAAGAAGCGTCTGTGTGCTCAGGAAGGACCACTGGCTTGCGTCCTCCCAGCACTAGCCCATGCCCGATGTCCTTGCTAGATAACGCAAAACCCTCTTAGCGGCCGGCCAGTGCTGTGGTCGGTGTCTGCCTGTGGCCACAAAGCAAGCCAGGATGCTGAGATGGTATGCGAGATCAGGACGAGTGCAAGTCATCAGGTACATGAGGCAACCCACCAGCTCTGTGTAAGGAAGTGGTCGCGGGCAATGGCTAAGCGGTCAGGCAAGCGCATGGCAATAAGGTACAGGGTAGTGCAAAACGGCGGGGTGGAGGCAGTGAGTTCGGCAGTAGTGCTAGCAGCGCGGTAGCTAGTCTCTAGTGCACGGAGGTGAGTTGCGAGATCAGTGACAGTGGGGAAAACAGAGAGATCGGGGAAGAGCATGGGGAGGATCAAGCATCTAGCTGTGGGAACTACTGCATCTAAGAATTCGTTGGCGTTCGCGACAGCAGTGAAACGCGGACGCTCAGAAAAGGGAAGCGCATAACTAATGGCAAGCTGCGCTACAGCATCGCGAGAATCCCAAACAGCACGAGCGAGCGCAGCAGCAGCAAGGCCTCACTCTCAGCAGTGGTGGGGTCAGCAGGGAGGGGATTAGGCGCGGAGGGGCGGGGAAGCATTCCATCAACATGCATAGCCAGGGAGTGCCCATCCTGGCGCTCACCTATCAGGTGCCAGTGAAGGTCAACAAGCCAGGCGGCAAAGTCGATTGCGTGCCCCTCCTCGTCCAGACGTAGCATGGCGTCCGCCATCGCACAACCGCAGCGGCACCGGGACACAGCAGCACATGGACTGAGGTACTCAGCTGCACAACGATACAGCGACGTGGCGGCTGGATTCTCCGAAACAGGGACCGGGTGTGCGGGGAGCCTGAGGGCGCGCAAGGGGCCGAGGCGCACGAGGGGCTGGCCAGGCGCGAGAGAGGGCGGAAAGGAGGGCCGGCGCGTAGAGCGGAGCTGGCAAGGCGCGTGGGGCCGGCGGTGCGCAGGAGGGGCTAGGTAGGCAGGAGGGGCCGTCTAGGGGGTAGAGGGACCGGCAGCGGCGCGAGAAGGGGTCGGCTAAGCTCGAGGGGCCGGCTAGGCACGAGGGGCCGGCTAGGCACGAGGGGCCGGCTGGGCGCGAGGAGCCGGCTGGGCGCAAGGGGCCGGTTACGGCACGAGGGGCCGGCTAGGCGCGAGGGGGCAGCGATGGCGGGAGGGGCTGGCGACAGCGCGAGGAGCCGGCTGCGGCGCGAGGGAGGGCCGGCTAGGGCGCGATGGGCCGGCTAGGGCGTGAGGGGCCGGCTAGGCGCGAAGGGGCCGGCTAGGCGCGAAGGGGCCGGCTAGGCGCAAGGGGCCGGCTAGGCGCGACTGGGGCCGGCTATGCTCGAGGGGCCAGCTGGCGCAAGAGGCTGGCTAGGGCGCGAGGGGCCGGCTACAGCGCGAGGGGCCGGCTAGATGCGAGGGGCCAGCGACGGTGCGAGGGGCTGGCTATGGCGCGAGGAGCCGGCTACGGCCCGAGGGAGGGCCGACTAGGGCGCGAGGGGCCGGCTACGGCGCGAGGGGTCGGCTAGACGCGAAGAGGCCGGCTACGACACGAGGGGTCGGCTAGGCGCGACGGGGGCCGCCTAGGCGCGAGGGGCCAGCTACGGCGCGAGAGGGGCCGGGTGGGCGCGATATGGGCCGGCGAGGCGCGGTAGGCTAGGGCGCGGGGCGGAAACGGGTGGGTGGACCTAACCTACCCATGATACCATGTTAGAATACTAGAATGAATAGGAAACAAGAGAAAACAAGCAAGATATGGGGTTGGGTTGTATTCTCTAAGAACTTACACCTATTCTAGCCTATAACTTCTATATGACGAAATTGGGCTGGCGCGAGCGGGAAAACGTTCCAAGACGGGCGGGGGTTACTTCTACTGACCAGTCGTGGAACTTTTTTCCTGCAGTTTCTGTCCATCTATGGAATCCGACTTATGAAACATGTTGCGGACTAGCTAATTCTGATTGTTTATATCGTGTCACTGACCGTACATGTTATCGAGGCCCCTAATACTGAGCGTCGATATGCTTTCCCACAGCAGAACCGTATGCTAGCCTGGTTAACCGTAATATACCGCTGAGGACGTATCTTTTCACATTCGCTGTAAGGATTGTTCAAGGTGCGGAGCGAATTCTAGAAACCGCGTGGGTCTGCCCATTTGCTGCTCTATCAGGACCATTTGGAAGCAACCGTGACTGGGCTGCTGCTTCTTGTTGGGCCAGCTGGGCCTCGGTCCTCAGGGAGATTCTCAACGTCGGGTCATCCTCCAGTGTCCTCTGCATCTAGGGGCAACCTGGTGTCTTCCGAACATCACTCGGCTCCTTCCAGGGGCAAATATCGGAAGACACTCGCGGATCCGCGCGTGAGCCCTCAAAGTGGGATTGCTCCGCGCACAGTCTCTCACAGGACTCAGCAAGTGGAGCGGGGTGGTGAAACTGGGAGCGTGCATGGTCCCGCTTCCAGTCATGTGACGACACGAAGATATTGAAGGGCGGTTGGTGTTGTTCGACACCGACATCAAAACCTCCTTCGCCCTGGCGTCATTCGCAGGATGAATGCTGTGCAGCTGGGATGTCCACCAGGGCACACGTTAACAGAAGAATTGCCCGAACTTGGCTGAAATTTCAAGGTTATTTTGAGGCCAATCACGTGTTTTCTAGGGCTCTTGAAAGAAAATTCTGAGAGAATCATGGAGATTTACCTACTGACCCGTAGGAGACCGGGTGATTTTGAGGGGGGCCGGACATCTAGTTAGCCTCCAGGGGGTATTGGAATCTGTCCGAGTTCCCGCTCTTCCCTTTCACCCTTAGCCCCACTCTGCTCTTCCCATCCAACCCTTAGTTTAGCGGTTGGTTTTAAAATGAGCTGCCAGCAACAATTGTTCACGCCACTCAAACTCGCCCATTCCTCCCACCAAACCCCCTTTCCCTCCCACCAAACCCCTATTCTTTCCAGCGCCCTGGCCTAAATATAGCACCTTCCACGTTCTTGATTGATCCGCAGCATAGGTGCTGGTGAGGGGGCGGGATCCCACCCCAAAGTCGCCCACTGGCACCCTCATCATCTTGTCCAGCAAAGATGGGCTATTAACTGTCAAGACATTTTTAAGCACTGCCCTGAAAAATCAGGGTAGTTGTCTCACGAGATCGGATTTTACAGGGCGATTTTTCGAGGGGCCCGGATCGTCCGAGATGGCGAAAAAACTAGCGAGAGCCCTGATGACCACATCGTAGCGGTTGCGGGGGGTTCAACCAACCTCGCCCCACCGACCGACATCCCTCACTTGCTTGTTCTCCTCCCTCCCTCCCCCCAACCTGCGCCACATCAGAACAAGGCAGCATTGTCCTGTACCTCAGCCGCAACAGCAGCAACGCTTTTTCTCGCGTGAGTTGTGTCGAGAGTCAACCGGAGGGTCTCTGGTTCTGACGAAGGCATTTTCGCTCATTCGTGCTACACGCACCTCGAGAGCATCGACACAGTTCCCGTAAGTTCCCGTTAGCTCCCGACAGGTCCCGTCAGTTCCCGTCAGCTCCCGTCAGTTACCGTCAGCTTCGCTCGAGAGGTGTTTCCTGCGATGAACGCGCTTGGGACAGACACGGAGCAAGGCTCGTCATCTCGACGCAGCGGTCTCAAGCGAAAGTAGGGAGGGATTCGACAAGCGTGGTCGAGCTCCATCCACGCCACACCTTCGTTCGTAGTAGTGCCCTCGCCTCTCGCCTCTCGCCCCTCGCCTCTCGCCTCCCGCCTCGCCTCGCGCGTCATGTCGCATCTGCCTCAGGGGAGTCTCCTCCCGCTCATTCGCGCCGGCGACATCGTCTCCATCTGGCATGACGTCATCCTCTCCTGCGCCTCCCCTGACGCGAGCAATGCTCCCCTCCGTGCCTCCCCTCGCACCGTCATCAATCCGCCAACCCGCGACGCTCCAACTGGTACCATTCCTCTGCTCAACTTCATCTGCACTTCCTCTAAGTCCAGCTCTTTCGCCGCCTCGCTCGCCGGTCGCCGGCGCCGTCTAGCGCTTGACGGCTCCGTCAAGGTCGACGACTCGGAGCAGCGGCCGTGGAACCTCGGGATCATCCCGCAGACCTGCGTCCTCGCGCCGTCCCCCGCCACGTCCGCAACCTCCCCCTCCGCGCTTCCCGCTGACAGACCCATCCCCGCAGCCGACGACGACCTTTACCCGTTCGACTCCTCGGAAGCGGCTTGCGACCCCTGCGACCCCTTTAGCCGCCCCGATAGCGGCGCCGCGTTCCCCGTGATTCTGGACAACGCGCCGTTGGAGGCGGTGGAGGTGGGCGCGAAGGAGCGCGACCCGGGCGACGTGTTCCCCGTGCTGCCGCTCCTCGCGCTGCCCGTGCGCCTGCGGTCCGGCCTGGGGTCAGAAGTTTCGTGGAAACTGGTCGTCGTGGCGGCGGACGACCCGTTAGTTTTGGCTCATCAGGTGGAGATTTTAGCGGAGACTATTCTGCCAAGAGTTAAAGCCTGGGCCGCGGGAGGGTTCGGTGGGTTCGCGGGAGGATCCGCGGGAGGGTTGACGGACGTCGATCCCGACCGTTGGTGGATCCCCGAGTCCCCGCAGCGCGACTCGGGCGATTGGGAGGAAGCTGCGCGGAAGGCGCAGAGCGTGGTTCTCGAGGTGCACAGCATATGGAAGCTGCTGGTGTCGTCGCTGCGCCGCCCCACGCTGCAGCGGCGGCAGCGCGTGAGCGAGCGCACGGTGCAGGGCTGGCAGGACAAGGGCGGCGCGGGGGACGACGGCAGCAGCAGCCTCCTACAGCTCGTCGCGCGACCTGGCGCCGCTGGCGGGCTTGGCGGGTTCGGCGGGGGGAAGACCCGCGGGGGCGGCGGAAACGGGAGGGGTGGGTTGGGGAGCGGAGCGGTGGCCGGGGGGAAGGGTGGGCTGAGCAGGGGAAGATGTTCCGCCGCTGCTGCGGCGGCGGCTGTTGCGGCAGCTGAAGGGGGCTCAGCGCGCAGCGAAGCGGGCAGTGAAGAATCAAGGGGTATGGGAGGCGAGGAGGGGGAGGAGGGGAGGGAGGGCGAGGGGACGAGACAGCTGAGGCGGGCGGGGAGCGTGGAGGATCTGGGTAGCAGCGGTAGAAGCGGCGGCGGCAGGAGCAGTGCGGGAAACAGCAGCAGCGGCGGGAAGCGCAGAGGCGTGCTGCCGCAGATTTCGCCGCGCGCCCTGTCAATGACAAACGCTGCGGCGCGTGTGCTCGTGAAGACTGCCACGTGGAGCAGAGGAAGCAGTATCAGCTGTGGGAGTGGTAGTAGTGATAGCGCTAGTAGAGGGGTTGGGAGTAAGAGCATGGTTGCGGGTAGTCGCAGTTTCGCGGGGATTCGCAGCGACGGAGGCAGTAAAGAGTTTAATCGGAGCGAAACTTGTAACGCGGACGATGCTGCTTCTACCAGGGCTCGTTCGCGCAGCAAATCGCCTTCGCCTCGTTCATTCGCCTCGAATCCTCGTGGGCTTTCGTCGCCAGGCGCGCGAGAATCGCATTTTGACGAGAATTCGCTAGGGCACGGGGTTGGCGGAAGGCGAAGAGACTCCTTGGGTAGGGTTACTTCAGTTGGGCAACCTGAGAGTGGTTTCGCAGGCTTCAATCGGAATAATCTGGCTGGCGAGATTGGCGAACTTGGCGACACTAGCGATTTGGGCGAGGCCGTGAAGAGCAAAACAGACGCGAATCGCATGTGGAACAGTGGACGGTTGGGATTCAGCGCCTCGTTTGGCAGCAAATCAGGTGCCGCCTCCACCAGATCCACCTTCTCCAGGGAAACTACCTCCACGTGGGGAGGGCTGGACTCGAGCTTTCACAGCGGGCCGCTGTTTGGCATGTTTGGAAAAAGCCGAACCATTCGAGAGAGCGACGGGCAGCAGATTCCGAAAGCACGTAGCTGGGGCTGGCACGGGAAGGGAGGGACTGGTAATGGCGGTGGCGGCGGTAGTGGTGGTTCTGCTGCTCCAGAGGATGGCAGTGGGGGTGGTGGGGGTGGTGGGGGTGTCGATTATGGTGGCAGTGGCGACGCAAGTGGCTACAGCGTTACCAGTGGTGGAGGTGGTGGGGAACGGGCGAGGAGTGGGGCGAGGGTGGCGTTCAGCAGGAGCAACACGGCATCGAGCACATACAGCTTCGTGAGCGTGGGCAGCATGGCCAGCACTCACAGCACCCACAGCGCCCACAGCGCCAAGAGCCCGACTGCTACTCCAGACCTGGCTGCTTCTGCCACCGCTGCTCCTGCTGCCGGGTATTGTGGGACGGGCAAGAGTCATAGGTTCGACAGGTTAGTGGTTGATGGGCCAAGTGGGGCAAAGGGTAGGGACGCTGGAGGTGGAGAAAACTGCGGAGGGAGCCGCCCGTTCACCCCGCCTCTTGGTCGGTCGAAGACCGATCCGCACAACTTTGGGTCAGGGGGGGCGAGGCGTGGGTGTTCTCAGAGGAACTTGTCGCCCTCTCATGCTCATGCCGCAGCTGGCCTCGACCATGATGACAATGACGACGATAGCTTTACCTTCTCTCCGGTGGACACCCCACCAGCTGTTCCGCCAGGGCCAGTCGCACGGCCAGTGTCAGCGTCCGTGTCAGCGTCCGTGTCCCCTCTGGAGAGCCCCCCCGCGCTCACCCGCCGCTGGAGCCTCGCCTCGCAGGTCAGCTTCACAGGGAATGGAGGGGCGGGGCCGAGTGGGCGGGAGGTGTTTGATGCGGCAGCTGATGGTGCTGAGGGGAAGGAGGAGCATGGTCAGCGGGGCAGTAAGGGCCGGCACGGTGGACGTGAGGCAGTGGAATGGGCTGCTGAAGGGTACAGTGATGAGTGCTCCAATCATGCTATCTCCAGCCATGTGAACCGCAGCCATGCGAGAAGCAGCCACGCTAGCTGTGAACATGCCAGCCGCCACTACGAGCACCAACCATGGGAGCAGAGAAAGCTGCCCAAGTCACCCTCCCTGCCAAAGTCCCCAACCCTGACCAAATCACCCTCCCGGCCCAAATCACCCTCTTGGTCCAAGTCACCTCAAGCACCCAAGAATGGGCTGCGAGGCGGGATCACCATGGAGCACCCGCATCCTGCTGACAGCGACCACATGTGGGCATGCGAGAGCAGTAGAGGAGGGAGCAGCAGCCATGCATCCTCTGAGGTGCCGCAGACCAGAGGCGGCGCTAGAAGCGGGGTGAGGAGCAAGCAGCGCGGGCAGCAGCACGTTCCGGAGTGCATTTCCACCGAGTCGGAAGCTCCTGCGACTTCTGAGAGTCCCACGAGGAGAGGAATCGTCAGAAGTGCAACGTATGATCACCCACCGCCGCAGCTAGCGGCAGCAGTTTCTGCTGAGCCGCCGTTGCCGGAACCACCGGGGCGGCGATTCGCAAAGAGCCACACAGAAGCCCCCCAGCGCAGGATAATCGTGACCCGGCCTCAGTCCAGTTCTGGGGCTAGAGGGGGAGGGGGGTTTGGGGGAACGAGAGGTTTGGATGAACGGGACATGCATTCCCGGCCTCCCAAGTCCCCTCTGGCGAGAATGGCCTCCTCTGGGGCTCTACTTGCGCAGGGTATCGTAGCTGGCAGACGATGAGCTTTGGAGGGCGAAGGTGGAATACAGGTGGTGGCAAGTTTGTGCTGGAAGGGACTTCGTGAGCTATGGTGGGGGCTTGGGAAAATGGGTTCAAGCTTGAGGCGCATACTGGTATGTTGTAACTTGTAACTAGTGTTGTTGTGGCCTTCACTCCAAGCTATTTTCGTCACCATTATCTAAGTGGAAGTTCGACGAAATCAGTCTGCTGAATGAAGAAAATGCGAAGTGGATTTGGTTACGATGAAAGTGAATTGAATGTGCTTTGCAGCTAGTTAGCAGTAGCGATTGTAAGGAGAAAGGTGATGCGGGTGTAGAGACTACCCTCCACAGTCACCAAGCGAGGAACTTTGAACCGCGAGGCGATATGGATGGGACATGAACTCGCGACATCACCCGCGCATCAGCCACCCCTCCCTCACCCGTCATTCTCGCTCACTGTCCTCCTCGCCTCACGCGTCTCCTTCCCGCCATTTTCGCCGCGCTCCCTGGGCCCTCGCTCTCGCGGCCGATGATTGCGCGCAGCTACGGCTAGACCCACGGGTTACTCGCGCTGTTCCTTATTGCTCGCTGCAATTCTCCCGAGAAAGATTCGACTCCCCCCCCCCCTCCTCCCCCGACGACGCCCCCTTTTGCTCCGTTATCCCCGTCCCCGACGCCCCCTATTGGTTTCAGGCGCCCTCGTCCTTCCCTTAGGCCCCCCCGCGCCTCCGCCTGCGACCCCGCGGACATTCTCTGGGCGTCGCAGATTTGTCGCGGGATGTCGCCCGCCGCATGTCATGCCTCTGCATCCCAACCTAACACTCCCTCCCTCGTTTCTCTCTTTGATATTCGCTGGCAAGGCCTTGTCGCGCAGTCGCACAACGACGCGGGAACGCACGCGCTCTCGCTCTCGCAATCGCTCGCGCAATCGCGCGAATCGTATATGAACGAGCGGCAGGATGCCTTGCCGCGTGAAGCGACCCTCCCACTCGGTCGCCTAGTGCAGGGAAAATCACAGCAGCCGCCGCTGTCGCAGTGTCACCTCCTATCGCAATCGTCGTCGCAAGGTCTTAAAGTAGAAACAGTGGCAGTGGAGCAACAGCAGCAACAGCAGCAACAGCAGCAGCCTCGGTGCCGGCGGTCTCAGGCGATGGGGTGCGTTCCCTCCCGTTTAGCCATTGAGTGTTGCTTGTCCGCTGGCGCTCGTCCTGTAAAGGGAAGTGCTAATATCGAGAGTAGCGGCAAGGCTGCGAGCCCAAGCGGCCTCCAGAGTGGCTCCGACAACCTATTTAGTATGTCGCTGCATTCCACACATCACCTCTGTTACCGAGTTTCTCAGAAGCGAGAACAAGAACGGCTTGTTACTGTAGCTGGTGATATAACGTGCGGCTTCTCAGCTTGCCCGTCCAAACCAATCCGAGAACCGTTTAGGAGCGATTCGTTACAAGCTGCTGCGTTAGAGGCCTCCGCACCAGCATCTTCGTTACTGACACACTGCGCTGCAGCACCTCCAAGGGTTCACGAGATGCCCGACGAGCTGCTGCGGCAAATCTTCAGCCGTCTGAGTGTGGTGAGCTGTAGGGAAACGAAGAGCATGCTTATACCGAGTCAACCGGTTAGCTGCTGTTGCTCAGCTGACCTCTTTCCCCCTCGTTCCCCTTCCTTTGCCTCCGTTCCTTCCACTCCGGTTTATAGTATCCACCATGCTCACAAGTCGCGTTGCCGGTTACTCAACGCCCTTCGCCCCAAACCCCCCCCCCAATCGCGCAGCCTCTTCGCCCTTATTCCCCCCCCCCCACCTTCCCCCCCCCCACCTTCCCCCCCCCCACCTTCCCCCCCCCCCTCGCCTCTCTCTCGTTTCCCCCACCCCCCCTCCCCCCTCCTTCTCCCCTCCCGCTCGTCCTCCCCCTCGCCCTTATTCAATCAGTCTGACTCCCCCCGCGTGGCAGCGGTCTGCCGCCAGTGGCACTACGTAGCGCCAGACGCTTCTCTCTCATCCGCTGCCTTGGCGTCCTCCATCTCCGCTCTCCGCTCCCCCCAACACGCGTCACCCGTCGCCCTCCCCATCAGTCTGACTCCCCCCCGCTCCCTCACGCTCCCCATCAGTCTGACTCCCCAGATGTGCGGCACGCAGCAGTGTGTCGCCACTGGCACAGCCGTGTTCTCGCCCGCTCTGCTCTCTGGTTCCCCTGTGCGGCGGCCGTGTCGCCGGTGGCACGGTTGTTCCCTAGACCGCTCTCTCTGCTCGGTTGCCGTCCGTATCTCGTGATAGAAGTCTAGTTTTTCACCTCTCTCTTCGTTTTTCACCTCTCTCTTCGTTTTTCACCTCTCTCTTCGTTTTTCACCTCTCTCTTCGTTTTTCACCTCTCTCTTCGTTTTTCACCACTCTGACGTCCCCCGTGTGGCAGTGGTGTGCCATCAGTGCCACTGCCCCGCGCCAGACTCCTCTCTCTCGTCCTCTCCCTTAATTATCCCCCCGTCTCTTCCCTCCCCTCCGTCCCTCCGTCTCTTCCTTCCCCCATCCGTCACCCATCGCCCTTCCCACCAGTCTGAAATCCCCCGTGTGGCGGCGGTGTGCCATCAGCGGCACATGCTAGCGCCGGACCCCTCTCTCTCTGGTCATCTGCCTTCATACCCCCACCACCTTCTCTCCACTCCCTCCGCTCCCTCGCCCTTTCAAATCAGTCTGACTTCCCCCGCGTGGCAGCAGTGTGCCATCAGTGGCACACACTAGCTCTGGACCCTTCGCTGTGGTCGGCTGCCTTCTGCCGCTGCCACTGCCTGCTCTCCCTGGGCCTGCCCCCCTCCACCGCCTCGCTCCCCGCCATGCTCGCCGCACATGCTGCTGCTGCTGGCGGCCCTGCTGGTGCTGCTGCTGCTGTTGATGCTGATGCTGATGGTGGTGCCGGCTGCACCAACGCTGCTGCTGGTGTTGCTGCTGGCTGCGCTGCAGTCGGAGCAGAAGCGAGAGAGAATCCTGGAAAATGTGTGGCGCTGGGGCATTCTGCAGCTGTAGCGCGGGCGTCAGCTGTAGCGCCTACAGCAGCAGAAGCAGCATGGCCATCACCAGCAACCGCAGCACTGGAGGCGAAGGGAAGTTACACCCATATCACTAGCACACACCGCAGAGACCCGCATTATGCTGCAGCAGTATCTGTTCAAGGCATTGCCGACAGCCATGCCAGGCGCCATAGGAACTCGGCGCTGCTCTGCCCTCCCCCCTCCTCCTCCCCCCCTGCTCTGACAGGCCGGCGCTGCTTCCTTTCTGTCTTCTCGCTCCTCGCCTCCCCTGAGTTCGCCCTCTCGCACCCCATCGCCCGCACCGACTCCGTTGCCAGCCTGGCTGTGCGCTTTCACGTGCAGGTGAGTGTGACACGAGCAGGTGAGTGTGACACGAGCAGGTGAGGGGGACGCGAACAGGTGAGGGGGACGCGAGCATCCTATCAGGTCATGGACATCCGCCGCCTTAACAACATCAAAATCAACCATACCATCCCATTCCCACTCCTGCCATGCCATGCCTTGCTCCTCCAACCCGTGCCATGTCATGCCATTCCTACTTTCGCCATGCCAACTCTTGCCTACCAGCCCATACCATGCCATGCCATGCCATGCCATGCATACATGCAATGCATCTATCCGCAGCTCACCCCCCAGGCCATGGACTTCCGCCGCCTCAACAACATGATGAGCGACCATGCCATCAGATTCTCACTCCTGCCATGCCATCAGATTCTCACTCCTGCCATGCCATCAGATTCTCACTCCTGCCATGCCATCAGATTCTCACTCCTGCCATGCCATCAGATTCTCACTCCTGCCATGCCGTGCCATGTCTTGCTTTTCCAACCCATGCCATACCATGCCATGCCATGCCATGCCATGCATCCCATCAGGCCATGGACATCCGCCGCCTGAACAACATCATGAGTGACCACGCCATCCACACGCGCACGCGCCTCCTTATCCCCATCCCTTCCTGCCGCCGCCCGGTTGAGCTGCCCGGGCGGCACTGTGCCGTCCAGTTTGACTGCCACGCACGGCGGGAAGTGCTGCTGGTGTTCCGGGAGGGGGAGGAGGGGGAGATCCAGCGGGCGTATGGAGAGACGCAGAGGGGCAGGTGGGTTCCGTAAGTGTTGATGATTGCGCTATGTTGGTGCAGCTGCTGGTGTCTAGTGAGGGGTGGGGGGGGAGGGGGGGCAGAGGGGGGCGGGGGCGAGCTTCAATGGACATATGGGGAAACGAGGACTGGCAGTTTTTTTTTTTTTTTTTTTTTTTTTTTTTTTTTCAATATCTTGATAACTGTGTGTCATGGTGGTGTAGATGGTGATGCTCATGCCTAGTGAGGGGGGGCGAAGGAGCAGATAGAGCGAGTGATGATGAGACTCGGACAGGCAGGTGGGGATGATCATGTTGGCATGGCATGTACAGACAGGCGGCATGGCATGTTGACTAATCATGGCATTAGGCTTTCCTGGATGGTAACGCTGTGTTTGCCATTGCATGCTCTCTCCTGGCCTTGTGTTGCTCATCCATGTGCGCTCCTGGCCTTGTATTATTTTTCTGTTGGACCGCTCGTCCCTTCCCCCCTCTCCCCCCCCCCCCCCCCCCTTGGTCACCCACCTGCTCTCCTCTCAACCTTCCAACCCCACCTCCCCAATGGCCCCCAGGCCCTCAGCAGCGCGGGGCACTGCGCAGGTGGTTTCTCTGTTGCAGAGGGCCCTGCAGGTGGACGAGGCCACAGCGCGGTATTACCTGGGGGAGTCGGTCGGCGACGTGCGGGCGGCAGTGGCACTGTTCATGGAGGACCAGCAGTGGGAGCGGGCGCAGGCACACGCGGGGGAGAGGAGGAGCCTCGCGAATGGCGGCGGGAGAGGGAAGGGATGGGGTATGGCAAGGGGGTGAAAGGCTCTAGTGGTTTTTGGTGCCCACACTCATGTCTGGCCGTGCAGTGGCGCGGATGCAATGCAAACCAATGTGTCGAGTCCCACATGTGAAACACATTGCATGACATACACCGGCCCATCAGGCCTCTGGATAGGATAAGAAGTACCGTAATCCCCCGTATAAAACACCCGCCGGAATTAAGCTCCCCCGGGTAGCTTGAGCGGGTATGGGTGTTTAATTTAACTGGATTTAGTTACCACCCTACCCTTGGCCTTGAAAACATTTCACCACCCCCCCCCGAGATGAAAAAACGTTTTTTTCTACGTTTTCCTGTATACAACTTCTTGAATTAGACGTTAGCAATACAACTAGAGTACACGTAGTTACTACTCAACAGAATTAACCATAGAACTAGTTAGTGGCACCACCTAGGGCTTGAATTCTACCTACTCTGCCTAGAACCTAAATTATCCACTACACTTTAAATCCTTACACTACGCCAGATACTCATGCCTCTGCCACTGCTCTAGTCGTCCTCCTCAGGCTCCTCATCACCAGCCTGCCACATCTCGACGTCGCTCCCATCTGCAAGCTCATCCCACCAACAGTTGTCGTCATCCTCCTCTGCAATGCCTTCTGCCGGCCACACATCAACACTTGCTGCTGCTGCTGATGCAGTCTCTGCATTGTCTGCGCTCGTCTCAGCTGCTTCGGTTGCCGCTTCAGCACAGTCGATGTCGTCAGCCGCCAGCGACGCCGCATCCGCCTCTTCGTCGTCGGCGACGTCCCCGTCCACATCGATGAAGGCGTCGTAGAGGGGGTTGATGTAGCCGCTCTCGCCCTCCTCGACGTGGACATCGTCCATCACCTCGAGGTCGGGCTTGCCGCGGAGGTGGCGGAGAGCGAGGTTGTCCTCGGTGCCGTCCAGCGCATTTGATATACCGCACGTCTTGAATGAACTACGCACGAGCTCCTCTGGCACAGCCTCCCATGACCGAGCAATCCATTTCAAGATGAGCTCAGCCGGGGGCTTCTTCAGATTTCCTGCACATGGGATGGGAGCATAATGGGAGGAGAAGAACACGGGCACGGTAAGATGACGACTAGGAACGGGCACGGTGGAATTCGTCAACAAGCAAGAAGTCTAAAAACTACTGAGGAAGCGACTAGGAAGGGGCTCACCTGCCGCAGTCTTCATGTCGATGCCGAACTGCTCAAACCATGCGCCGTAGTCGCCGCGCACGCCGGCCTTGAAGCTCTTGTTCACTGCGACGTCCAGCGGTTGAACGAGAGGCGTGCAACCACCTGGGATGACCGCGCGGGTAAGTTTGCACAGCTTCATCGTCTGCCCGACTGCTTGCGTGAGGTGGCCCTTGTACGAGTCCAGGATGACGAGCGCCTCCTTGCGCCTATTCCCCGATTCGCGCAGCGGGCGCAAGAACGGGTTCAGGACTTGAGTAGTCCAGTCCTGGACAAGCTTCTCGTCCATCCAGCCCTTCGGCTGGGCTCGGATGATGACACCTGGATACAATCACAAGCCACAACAACAGTCAGAGGGTATGCATCGGTGTACACTATGCACAGAGCGAAAAGCAAAGGCGATTCTTACCCGGGGGAACCTGAATCTTTGGCAGCGTCTTCCGCTTGAAGATGACATACGGCGGGAGCTTCAATCTCGACGCGGTGACTGCCAACATGACGGTGAGCCGCTCCTTTTCATAGCCGGCCGTCCTCACATGCACCGTACGGGAGCCTCTGTGCTCCAACGTCCTCTCCTGGGGCATTTCGATGAAGAGGGGGGTTTGGTCGGCGTTCACGATGTGGTCGAGGTTGTACCGGTTGAGAATCCGCATCTGTTTGACAAACTCCCAGAATTTCTCGATCTTCGTCCTCATGTCTGCATAGAACAAAACAGTCAGAGAACAAATTCAGGCATGAACACGCGATAAGCAAGACAATCAAAAGAATCAAATATTGAAAGTCGCGGCAAGGGAATCAATAACAAGGATGGGACGGCAGTTTACCGTCGGCGAGCTTTTGCCCCATCTTCGTCTTTACCCGACGCGTAAGGCCCCAGCGCGCGCGGAATCTGAACGTCCAGCGACTCGACGCTCTCCAGTCGACGTTGGGATGATGTACGCGCATGTACGAGCGACTCCACTTCTGCAGCAGCTTGACGGAGACGGCAAGCCCCCTCCCGCGGTGCCTCAGGAACTGTCGGTAGAGGGCGCTCTCCATCGTCGGGTACTTCGCGGGACGTCCGGCACCGACGAGGCGTTTGCGGCAGCCGGCGGCGACACGGAGGCGTTCGCGAGCATTCTTCCACTCCCGAATCGACACCGGCTGGACACCTGCAAGCTTTGCGAGTCCACGCACAGAGAGGTCGGGTTGAGCATCGAACATGGAAAGCCAGTACAACTTCTCCGAGGCAGAGTACGAGCGGCGCTTCCGCTTTGTCATCCTGCTTCGAGATGCGGGGGCATGGACATCGTGATTCAAGGTAGGACCACGGGGTCGTCGAATGGGCTCCGGGAAACTCGGCACGCTGACGCGCGGCAGGGGACGACGGCCTTCCGTCGTAGTGGCGTCGCCGCTTGCAGAATCTGTCGCAGCGGCGTCGCCGCTTGCAGAATCTGTCGCAGCGGCATCGCCGCTTGCAGAATCTGTTGCAGCGGCGTCGCCGCTTGCAGAATCTGTCGCAGCAGCATCGACGCTTGTAGAGTCTGTCGCTGCGGCATCGCCGTCGGCAAAGGACCGACGAAGTAAAAACGTCTGCTGGCCATAAGGGCCCTTTCGAGTCAGAAGGCGAGACAAGCCAGAGCCTGAGGCCATGGCGGGGGGACGTTACAGAGACGGAGCTAGAGGATGCCTTAGACAGCCCTTGCAGGGGCTGTCTTGAAGGCATCCTGGAGTCGAAACTGAAAATGAGAGGACGGAGCGGGGTAGACCCACTTCAAGAGTGGGTTGGAGGGGAAGGCAGGGACGTGGGCGACTCCCTCGTCCATGTCGCCCATGAAATGCCTCTCACGACCATCCAGAATGTGTGATTCCGTGCGCTGGCCGGTCGTGAGAAGGCATCGACAAAATGTGCCGTTGATTTCGCCACCCCATGCTGTGCTGGCACAGCGTGGGCTGGAGGCATCAACGTGGCTGCCTGCAGCACAAGCTGATTGGATACTCTGGCAGCATACTGAATCAGCAGCGTACGTAGACGATGTGGCATGCACATGGACCAAATCGTTGGGTACGCGATCAGATAGCAGAATGGGACTCAGAACAATGCCCTGTCACAAGTACAGTTGAATTCAAATCAAAAGTAGCATATGCACATTCCATAACTCCTGGGTGCTGTATTTTTTTTGCCTTTAATTACACCCAACCCAAAATTTCGTTGCATTTTTATTAACACCATAGGGTGTTTTATACGGGGGATTACGGTACTCTTTCTCGCTAGGGTACTCGCTTGCTGCCACTTTTTCTGTAAGGGTATATTTTTAAGCTACTTTGTAATATAAGGGTCCTAAATATTTGTACTTTTTGTTAAAATTATATTTTATATAATTGTAGGCTTGGTAGTTATGCTACTAACTGCATCCTACTGTATGGGGGACAACCCCCTTCTTGTACTTCATTCTCTTCTAGTCTACCCCTCTTCTCTCTCGACACTTCTCTTCTTCCCTAGCTAAACCCCGGCCGCCATTTCATGGCGGCCTTCTTCATTACTTGTTAGCTCGCATTCGAACACTTTTCCACATAAGGGTGTAACTCCAACGAAGCCTTTGTAAGGAATTACGATTCCTTACCGGGGCTCGCCACAACAAGTACACGCGAACAGTTCACGTCCGCAGGCTCGGCCCTCAAGTCAGGCGCCAAACCAGCCCCCGTCGACCTTTTCGGCCCCAACCTGATCCCGAGTTGCCCCGAACCTATTTTGACCCTGTCACCATCGGGACTACCGAGCCCTTGACTGGTCCAACCAACCCTCGACATTCAAACCTGGTCAACACACCTACGGTATATACCGTAATCAGGGCACATGTTAAAAGGGTGATTCTATCAAAGTGGGAACTGAATGATCAATAGAGAGAGTGTACAGGTGAATATACCTAAGTGTTGTACCCTCTAAGAGATGGCCCTATACAGTCTATGCAAACATAGGAGATACACATGTTTGACACACCCCCTAGACTGCATAGGGGCAGGTCCTGAACAAGCAACTCAGGGCGGCACTACTAGTCCAGCCTCTGAGACAAGGGTCTAAAAGACCAGTCAGAAGGAGTACAGACAAGGCAAGAACAAGACCAGGGCGGCACTACTAGTCCAACCACTGGGAGAGGACACAAGTCCAGTCTGAGTACACATATAAAGGACAGTACAAAGTCAAGGCCCTAGCAAGTGAGAGGCTATAGGAACTAGACCAAGCTGTACACAGTGCCGCTGATGATCTTTAGGCGCAAGCGCCTTCGTAAAGATATCAGCTGTGTTGGCACCTGAGGCCAAGTGTACTACGCGAGCCTGGCGTCGCTGCTGTAGCTTGCGCAGGAGGAAGTACCGCAGCTGAATATGCTTCGCTCTGCCCTCGAGTCGAGGCTCCTGACACAGGAGGATCATGGCCCTGTTGTCAGCGAACAGGACCGGGGCAGAGCTAGGCCGCTCACCTAAGTCAGTGAGCAAGAAGGTCAGCCAGCGGAGCTCCTGTGCCGCCATGGCACCAGCGTAGATCTCGGCCTCACAGCTGGACTGGGCAACAGACGAGGAGCGGGTGGCTCTCCACGAGACGGCCCCTGAGCCAAGGCTGAAGCAGTAGCCCTGGGTAGACCTGAGTGTCTCGGCGTCGTCTGCCCAAGAAGCGTCTGTGTGTCCAGTAAGGACCACTGGCCCACGTCCTCCTAGCACTAACCCCATGCCCGATGTACTACCAAGATAACGCAGAACCCTCTTAGCGGCAGACCAGTGCTGCGGTCGGTGTCTGCCTGTGGCCACAAAGCAAGCCAGGATGCTGAGAGGGTATGCGAGATCTGGGCGAGTGCAAGTCATCAGGTACATGAGGCAACCCACCAGCTCAGCGTAGGGGCCACAGGGCTCTACCGACTCCTCAGGAATTGGAGCAGAGAGTCTGTGGTCTACGGGCAGAGGGGTGGGCTGTGCAGAGGAGAACTGAAGGCCGAACCTCTGAAGGACCTGGCGCACCAAGTGTGACTGAGTCAGGGTGATGGTGCGCGCTGCTCTGTCCCAGGAGATCTGCAAGCCAAGGTAACGGCGCAGTTCTCCAAGGTCAGTGCAGGTGTGTC